TCCTCCTCCTCCTCCTGTAAATCGTCCATTACCTAGAAAACGGGGGGCGGGGGGAAGCGTCCTTTCAGGTGGTTGGCACGGCCGCGGGAAAGGCGAGCCTCAGGGACAGTTTTATTGGGGAAAAGGGTCTTCTTATGGTGGTTCTCCTCCTCCTCCTCTTCCTCCTCCTCCTCCTCCTGTAAATCGTCCATTACCTAGAAAACGGGGGGCGGGGGGAAGCGTCCTTTCAGGTGGTTGGCACGGCCGCGGGAAAGGCGAGCCTCAGGGACAGTTTTATTGGGGAAAAGGGTGTTCTTATGGTGGTTCTCCTCCTCCTCCACCTCTTCTTCATCCTCCTCCTCTTCCTCCTCCTCCTGTAAATCGTCCATAACCTAGAAAACGGGGGGGGGGGGCGTCCTTTCCGGGGGTTGGAAGGGCCGCGGGAAAGGCGAGCCTCAGGGGACAGCGCTTAGCTTTATTGGGGGGAAAAGGGTGTTTCTTATGGTGGTTCTCCTCCTCCTCCTCCTGCTGCTGCTGGTGTAAATCGTCCATAACCCGTCCTGAGGGTATGAAATGATGGGAGTCAAGTGGAAAAGCCCTGCAGGGAAGGGCCCCCCTCCCGTCGACCCTCCTGCTTGGCTTTCTCTCGCGCAAATACCACCGCGCACCGCTTGCCTGAGATGCCAGTAATTAGCCCTTACAAACAGTTGGCAAAGGAGAGAGAGAGAGAAAAAAAGGGGGGTGGAATATGCTGGGTAGTTCTAGGAGGGAGAGGAGGAGGAGGAGGGGGAAGACTCTCTTCGCCCTCCCCTCCCCGCCCTCCCTCTCTGGACTTTCCTTTCCTCCTTTTTGTACACTTTTGGTCCCCGCGCCGGTCCACAGTGCGCTCCTTTGAATACCCGCCAAGGCTTCCTCGCCTCAAGCTGCGAGGCTCGTAAAATTGCGCCCGAAGCCTGGGAAGTGGATTCAAAGCAGATCACTCAAGTAACCCTTGGGCAGGCAAGATGCCCTCGTGCCGCCTTCCGATGGGATAGAAAGCGGGGACCGGGGACGTGGGGACGGGGACGACGACACTCTTCCTAAGGATGGTTTGCTCATGAAGCAGGATTTATAAGCAACTTATAAGTTTCCTAAACACTGTCCCAGGAAGAGCAGGGCTTAACAGCCTCTGGGAGGTCCTGAGTGAGCTCAGAGTAGTCCGTGTTGACTATGCCGCTCATTGAAGTATTACATAAGAACAATTATTAACTAATGTTTATTAATAAATTACCATATTCCACAATAATCTGCTAGCTCCCATTTACGTGGTTTTTTTGTTCCATCATAAAGCCAAAGCTAGAGTCCTTGAGTTTTCCCATGAAATTTATGCTTGCAACTAAAATAAGATCTGCTGAATTTCATCAAGACCATCATCAGAGACGTGGAGACCATGGGGGTCTGGTGGTTAAAGGAGACCTACCTTCTAACAGATGGTCGGTCTTGGAAGTGCTCTAAAAGTGAACTATGGGAAGTCACTCTTCTTTAGCCCAGCCTATATCACAGATTTATAAAGGAAATATTAGGAAGCATTATGTGTATAATTGGAGCTCTTGATTGAAAAGGCAGGATATAAATGGAACAGACAAAAAGTATGGACCGTGCAATATTGGGTACCCCCTATAGTCTTACATGCCTGTTTTCAGAGCCAACAGTATAGAGCCATAGTTGGCTCTATAGTATAGAGTTGACTGAATTCTTAATATTAGGAATTAATCCATTGCAATGCATTCCACTAATTAATAGAGCCATAGTATAGACTATGTTTTGTGGTAGAAGAGTTACTTGACTGTATGGTGGAAAAAGACAGAAGTCTGTGATTTTCATTTATCCAACACGGATAGGCAAAACTGTGCACTATTCATATTACCCTATTAATTTAAGAGTTGATGGCCATCAACATCATTTTGGGTTTGCATACATCATTTTAAAACAGGATCCGGCAAACACAATAACACAGAATGTATGTGTTACATTCAGGATGGGAGACAGTATGTTACCTAAAAATGCTTTTAAAGCTGCTTATAGGCTTCATTGATGCTGGGTTTGGATGAGATTCTGATTTGAAACAACAGGTTCTTCTTACGTTCAGATAATTCTTAGTCATTTCAGCTCTAAATTATACTTCCCGGGTAACTTTTTCTTTCTTCTTTGCATGTAAGGGCAGAGACAAAGATAGCTACTCTTTGCTTCATTTTGGGCTGCTAATAAATATCTGGTCTGTTCATAGATACCAGGTTCCAAGGTAGGGATTTTTTCTAGGTAGAAAAGGTACAGACAGTGACATAAGGACACACTTAAATGGCAATAACTTTATTAACTTAAAACAACTATAGGCTATTGTCCATAATTCTGTACCCACAAAATTAGGATATCTATTTTACATGGTCACATTGAAGGGAAGAGATAATTGATCTTGCCTTTTGCTTTATGAACAACAGATTAAATATAGCTCAAATATCTTCTTAATATGTATATTTGGGGATATAGTTTAAGATGGAGAGCATTTAACCCTCTCCCACATCTTCTCTTCCAGTAAATGGAAACAGAGTAGAAGAATGACGTTCAATTGTTATGAATATATAGCAGGTATGCTATATTATCTTAAGGACAGAAATAAAATACAAATGCTAATACGATGTTAATAAATTTTCCATCTTTGACCAGTATATGACTAAGTATTCAGCTTTCAACATTTTACTTCTTCATGTTGAGTTTCAGCAATCCTGTGGAATAATTTTTTAAAAAACACGTAATTAGTGCATGTGCATGCAAGGTGTGTATTAAAAGTACTGTACAGAAGCATATTATATTAAAGAGCATAGCTTGCACAAAATTCATACATTTAGAAAAAAATGTACTGAGAAAATGAAAATGTACTTTTTGATTGATTTAGAAAAGTATTAACCCTAATGCAGAAATTGAAAGACTGGAAAAATGGGGAAATAAAATTGGAATTTTTCTCTCTGTTTTGACAAGAATTTAGTTGGTGTAGTTATAGTTGGTTTATCATTATGAAATGATGAAATATTTTAATCTATTCATTTACTCACTGTACATGTGTATATGTTTATATGCACAATTCTACTATATAATATGGGATACCAATGCAGAAAAAGGTATATGGCAAAGCATGCTCTATCTGGAATAATGCATTTCCTCACATGAGAGGTACACAAGGCATATTTCTTCTAAATCAGGACAACGAAGTATACATTTTCTAAAACAATCTACACCAACCCCATTTCCCCCTTTGTGTATTTTGGAACAGGTCAAGCCACCACAAATTTATCAAGATCAATATTTTGACAGCACAGTTTTTAGATTTGCTGAAAAGTACCATACCAGTGACATTAAGTCTTAAGATTTATCATAGCTTAATCTTCCAAGGTCTGAAAAATTAAACTTTCCTGCTGATGTTGCCATATTATTCAATCACTTCCTGCAGAACTCAGAGGTTTTTTTTAAAATACATGCATATAAACATACAATTAGTGCTGTAGGCGAGGGGTCCCCAACCCCTGGTCCTTGGACCGGCACCGGGCCGCGGCGTGCCAGAAACTGGGCTGTGCAAGCAAGCAAAGCCCCACCTGCGGGATGTGGGCAGCACACGCAATGACACCTCCTCCAGCCCACAGAAAAATCTTTCTCCGCGGAACTGGTCCCTGGTGCCCAAAATGTTGGGGACTGCTGCTCTGAGCAGAAAATAATGCTCATCACATTTAGAGGGCTATCTTAATTGTCCAGGCAGACTTTATAAGATGAAAAAGACAAGTAGGAATGGGCAATCTGCATCCTTGGCCTCAATTCACAGAGACTTTGGCCCAAATCCAAAAGTTAACTGCAAGAGATTAATTAAGATCTTGGTTCCTTCATCCCTATGCGTGATTTAGAAAGAGAAACAGAACAGCAATAGAAGGGAGGGAAAGGGTGCTTTTTTGGTGTCATCTCCATTTATGACTCTTCTTCTGCCCCATTGCTTGTTTCACTCTTATCTGCGGCTGAGGCCTTCAACAGATTATCTCTAAAGGAAAGTGTTTATCATCAGAAAAATGGTTGCTTAGCATAAGAGAGTCCCATTCTGTGTATAGAAGAGGAGATAATCTCCACAGCTATTCTTCTTAAGTCAATTTGTACTACCTCAATTATTGTTTGATTAACATCCAATTTGTCATTGCTTCACATACCTGGTTTATACTTTATCAATTGTTAACCAATGAGCAATATAATTGTAATTGGCAATAGTTGGCTAATGCAGGGTACTTACTTGGTATTTACTCCTGAGTAGTTTATACTTATAGGAGGGTTCTGTAAATATTTTCATAGATCATTGAGCAGTAAAAGTTCAATTAAGACGACTTCTTGGATAACAACAAACAGATTTTATTGTTATAAGCCAGGTGATCTAAATCAGGAACACTCCTTCCATAGAGAAGCTGATGCTAATGGATGAAGTATGTTTATGGTCTACAATTCCTCTTTTGTTAGCTTTATTTTTGCTATGCAACCAATTAAAATATGTAAACATTAAAAGAGTACAAATAATGAATTTACATAATAAACCCTGTACCATATGTGCCTTGATTATTTTCATATATATCTGATTTTTTTAAATGCAGCCTAATATATATTAAATTCTTTTACAATATTACCTGATGTCCCATCTTCTTCATAATCATTAACAATTGCTATGTAAGAATATTATCAACTG